CACAAATTCGGGATGAATATGATAATTAAATATCTCCCCAATTCCAATTCCAACCCTAACCATTTCAATTTACCCTCTCTTTCTCTCTCTCTCTCCATCTTCATTACCAGGCACCAGTACTATATAGGTTATGAAATAGAAAGTGGCACTAGAACAACCATCCGACGGGGGCGCTAACCACGACCATCTGGCGACAACATCACCATTACTGTCGGCGCTTTGAGATCAGCGTTGCTCGACGATAGATTTTGGAGATTTTTTTGTAGGAATTTGAGGCGATGGGGGCATAGGTGGTGGATCTGACGATTGGGTTGGTTTTTGCTGGCAACTGCACTGTGTTTGCGGCGTTGCTCGACGACGAATTTTGGAGATTTTTCTTTGTGGGAATTTGAGGCGGTGGCGGTAGCTTGTTGGATCCGGTGGTGGTCTGTGCCGACTTCTCGCGCGACGGATTTTGATCTCCGTCGTGTGAATATTGATATGTCGGTGTCTGAATGGTGTGAATATTGATCTTTTGGTGGTGGTTGTAGTGGTGTGACATGGTGTGCTCAGATCTGGATGGTGGTGGCGGTGATAGTATTTGGATGGTGGTGCGGTCATATTGTGTGGTTTACGGTGGTGGTCGTGTTGGTGGTAGAGACATTGGTTATGTGTTGTTGGTGTTTTTGGTGGGAGCGATCGTGGTGGTTTTCTATCAAATTGGGTATTTGTTGGCATGTGTGGTGGTGGCAGTCGTGGTGGTTTCTAGTGACGGAGGTGTTGGTTGTGCTTGCCTTGATTTTTATTTTTGTTGGTTTTTGTGTTGGCATCGATAACGGGTTGAGGGTGGTTGCAAGTGCTTGTGACGTCAATGATGGTGCGATAGTGGTGGTGGTGGTCTGTGACCACTCTTTGACGAGTGTGACCAACTATATAGTTATTTGTGACTATGTGACATTGGGGACGATAACGAGGTGAGGGTGGTCGCAAGTGGCCGTGGTGGCAGTGGCAGAGCGATAGTGTTAGTGGCGGTGGTCTGTGACCACTATTTGACTTATGTGACCATCCGTGACCAAATATTTAACCGTCATCAACAAATTTAAAATTATGTGACCTATAAATTTTTAGATATGTGACCTTCGAAATAATCTGTGATCTATAAAAAAATTTATTTGTGATCTTGAAATAATCTATGACTAATTAATTTAATGATATGTGACTAATAATTAAATTATGACCTAAAATTTTGTATCTGTGACTATTGGTTTTATAACTATGACCTTATTACATTTAATTAATAAATAAATAACTAATTTTTGCACTTTTAAACTTAGAACTTAAAAATTGAATTGGTGTAAACAATACGCTTGAGTTATGAATTTTTTCCAATTTTTAACTATGGCAGCCCATAACACGAATGTGGCCCATGAAAACCAAAATAAGGCCTGCGTAATCCGTTGGCAGAGGAGTCCATCACATCCATAACTCGTGAAAGCTATCCGCCGCCTAATTTAGGGTTTACTAGTGACGAATCATAAAACCCTGTGTCACTAATATTTTCTATAAAGAGGGATTCCTTAGTCGGCTTCAACTGAACCCATCAATGGCTGCCAATTCCTCTTTCTCCTATCTTCGGCAAGGGTTTATTTCTTTTTTCGTTTATTTTTTGATATATTTATCTGTTATTCTTGAATTGAAATCAGGTGATGAGAAAAAAACTGCAACAATATGATCGTTAATTTTCTATGATTCATTGTATTTAAGTCTCTGATGATTTCTCATCTCTTTAATTCCAAATTCATTTTCTCTATTTCTATTATAAATTTATTTTTTTAAAATTATTTTGATTAATTCTAGTTTTTTATTTTTTGGAATCTGGGAGATATGATGAATACCCAATTTGGTCCGTGTTTCTGAATAAACCGTGACAGATAAACCCTACCAATCTCTGATCTCCTCTTATGTTCTTTGAAATTGCCCAAAATTTTACACAAATTCATCGAAAATAAATTAAGATTCAATTTTAAAATTTTTTTTTTTATCTTGATATACTATGAAATAATTTTAGCAGCTCTATGATTTCCTGCCTTATTATAAGGCAATATACGCTATTCTGACATGGAGTATGAACAGATAATTTTTTTGAGTATGAGAGCTGCTGCAATTTCGTTTTATTTTTAATTCAACTAATTAAATTTTTATTGTTAATTTTGTTTAATACATGACATGGTTCGTTGTATTATTATATTATTGATTTATTTGTCTGTTATTTGGTTTAGTTCTTTTACTTCTGCCGTGACGATTTATGAAAAATTCACATGTCAGACTTCAGAGATTTTAAAAAAAATCCATGAGAAGAAATTTCATGCTTTCTGAGCAGAACTCTGTTTGCATTATTTGGTTTTAGCTCTCTTATTTTAAATATATTCATAATGTTTATTTTATCTATTTCTTCAGTAAATAAGTGAATTATATATAATTTTCCTGGTTTTTCTTGATGTTCTTCGTCAATGGTACACACATCAGTGGCTATGTTATAAAAACTGCCTCTAGGTGCGAGGTTTGGTAGAACAATTTGTCTTAATCCTATTAATTCTTTTCTTTAAAAAAATTATTTCATGTTATTAATTTTTTTTTAATTTTTTGAAAGGCTTTTATTTTACTTCAGTTTATAATTTTAAATGACTTTATTTTTATGAAAGACAATGACTTTATTGATAACTATTTAAGTTATGGTGTTATCTATAATATATAATTTTGAAATTTATCGTTTCATTGGAAACTTTTAAAATATGTATGAAGTTCCTATAAATCTATTACTTAGAATTTGTTTAGTTGAAAGTTTGAAAAATAGTAGCATTTGTATCTCAAAAACTTGAAAATTGTTTAATTGTAAGAATTATAATGCAACCCTTGTTTGAGCCCCCACTTTAGGGAAAAAATGTGTTATTGAATAGTGATATTTTGAAGATTGTTTTTGAAAAATAAGAAAAATGTTTTGATTTACATGTAAAATTATTTAATTAGATAATACAATTGAAAATAAGTTTTGAAAAAATGAAATTTAATAAAGTGGGGCTCTAATCAGGGTATTTTTATAATTTTAGATGTTTGATGTGTATTATTTTAATTATTAAATAGTTTTTAAAATGATCTAGTATTTATAATAATAATAAAATGAAGTAATGTTTTTTATGCCTATGTCTCATTTGAGCTTAAAGTTTGAAACTTGATTTTTATGTTTAGTAAAGCTTTAAACTTATAAGAATACTACTAATGGCTTGTTTCAATGGCGAATAAGAAAAAATAGGAAGCATGAAAGAAGGATTTTTCTGTTTGAGAAGTTAGGTATAAGGTCCGTTTGGTACGTATTAATGTAAAAATGAGAATGAAAAATATAGTTTGTACGGGTACCATATAAGAGATAGAAAGCCAAATATGATGATTTGATGTGATGGATAACAGTCATATTTTTCATTTTAATAGGCAAATAATGAGAAACAAATGGTGACGTAATGAAAATTTAGTTGATGAGTTCTTGGTTCGTAATAAGCCTTTGGTAGTCATTTTTTCATAATTATTTTTTTATTTTTAATTATACATTTTTTCAAACATTCTTAATGTAAATCAAAAAATTCTACCTACCTTTCTTTAAAACCATTTTGTAGCTTGGGAGTTAATTGTTCAAATGATCACTGAATTTATGTTTATGTCTTTGCTTAGTTATTAAAGTTTAAAGTGTCAAGTTTTGATTATTGAATTTAGGTCCATGTCTTCGATTGTTCATTGAAATTCAAAATATTAAATTTTGACCACTGAATTTTGAAAAATATTGTACATTACTCATTGAAATTTCAAAAATTATTGTATATTAATCACTGAATTTTGAAAAATGTTGTACATTATTCATTGTAAATTCGATATTTTTAAAAGTTCAATAGTTATGTTAGTAACGTACGGCATATTACAAAGTTCAGTGATTAAAATTTGACATTTTAAATTTTAGTGAGTTATTTAAGATATGGATTTAAGTTCAGTGAGCAATGGAAGACATTTATTTAAGCTTAGTGATAGAAACTCGACATTTTAAATTTCAATTAATAATAAAAAGCATGGATCAAAGTTAAGTGACAATTGGAAATTTTCATTATTTTCATGATTATAATAATAATTATTATTATTTGTATTTAAAATAAATTTTAAATGTATGAAATAATAATAATAATAATAATAATAATAATAATAAACATGATTATTTAAAGTTAACACGGAATAATTTAATATTTTCATTCTTGTAGAGTTTCTACTAAATTTACTATGTTTTCTATATTTATTAATGAATTTAATGTTTTCATTAATTTAAGTAATTATTTATTAAGTAATTTATGTATTTGTAAAATAAATAAATAATTTTCTTTTTCAAATAGTTAAATTATTTAAAATAAAAAAAAAGAATAAAATGATTAAATACTGTTTATTTGACGTGGTTGGAGATAGTTTGTAGTTTGGTGTAAGATTTGATGCAAAATATTGTAAATTTTGGTGGTAAGATTGGAGATGAACTTAGAGAGACCAACACTGATAGAAATAATTACCCCACAAATTTAATAAACTTATGGCAAAAATTCAATCAAATTAATTTTTGGCGACGCTCATCTCGATCATTTGAGCTTTTAGTTAGTGAAATGCCAGCCAAGACCACCTTGCCTGCGTTCCTCGTTGCATCTGGTACCTCCCATTTACATAATAGCTCTTTCTATTGGTCGGCCGTTTGGCTCCCATTAATTTGAATTATAATAAGAGGAATCATGTTTTTTTCGGAAAAATGAATGGTGGTAAAAGAATGAAAAATTTTCAATTTACATATAATATTATTTAATTGACGATCATGTTGTTGAAAATGAGAAAGAAAAATTTAATTTAAATTGATGAGATTTAAAGAGAGCCAAATGGGGTTAATATAAAAACAAACAAAACATTGAATAATATATAATTATTTTATGGATAAATGGTTTTACAAAAAAAAGGCCGGAAAAGCAACAGCCATTGAAATTTCCTTTTTCTTTCAACACGTGCGAGAATTTGCTGATACAAGTACACATGTTTATACATACTGAACAAGAGGTACATGTTTGGCATGATTCCACATCGATTTTCGAATTCATGCAAGCCCTGATCAAATCATTCTCCCATTTGGAAATTATATCTCGCTTACCCATCTATTTTCTGATATAAGTAATATCTTTCTCTTCTTGAACAGGTTTAGTTATTTGCACTGCCTTGGTCGGAAATTATCTTCTGATAATAAAGAGCTAATAAGATTTTCTAGTCTCTTTGCACCTGCAGTAGGCCTTAGAACTGTTATATTACCCACAACCGAGCATGGATCTGTCCCGTTTTTCCCCATACCTATGCACCACCCACCTGGAGCGATCATGCCTCGACCACGGAACAGGAGCTCAGAATCAATTTTGTCGAGCACTGGGTCTTCATGGTGAAACTTTCTAGCAAATGGGGCATTACTGTCGACCATTCTTTGCATGTCATCAACTCTAAGGTAGTGGGGATGCTGCTTCGGGGGATTATCCCACGATATGAAATGAAGATCACTGTTCACAGTTGTATTCTGGAATTCATGAGCGTTACAGATGACGGTGTGGAAGTAGCCTTCTGGAGAGGATAAGAAATTAGCATAGTACATGAGGACAGTTCGCGGTAAGTTATCCCATCCCCATATGCAGTAGTCGATGAACGGTCGAGAGAGTGCCATCCAAGCAGATCCTGTAGAAGAGGGAATTGAGTCAAATCCTGGAAACATGCCACACATTTGCATCTTTTTGGGCACAAATCATGTCCAACATAAAGATTTCCTTCACAGGAATTTAGCACCCTTTCCAGGTGAATGAATCGTAAGATTTCCATAATCCAAAAGGCTCAAAACAAGACTAATCTCGTCAAATAGAGTGTAACAAACAAGCCTAAAGCATAAAACATAAGCTTTATGTGCTTTTACTCACAACTTCATTGACTAGATACCTTATCTAATATTGACCATAATAATGAAACCCCTGAAATTGAATACATTTTTCTCGAGAAGATATGATGCAGCAATTTATCAGTTTAAAAGTACAGCACCAGCAAATGGACACACAAACACCGCCACATAGGCCATGTTCAAACATCGCCACCCCAACTGTGGACAAATACACAGTTTTCAACTATTTCTCTTTATTTGTCACTTCAAAAACTTGTATTAAATTATAAAAATTTCCAGAATTTATGTTAAACACTGAAAGTCACAAATGCAATGCAACTCAATTAAAACATAAGAAAGTTACAGCATTGAGGTAAAAGCCAATGCAAGACAGATGGGTATCATACCTAAAAGAACGGACATCATAAGAATATATATTCTTACTACAATAGTAAAGAAGTGATGTTAAATTATCAAGAAAATTACAAACCAAGGATCCACATAGGCATGAACATGGTTGGTTTGGGTGGTTTTTGAACTATTTTCAAACTAAACCAAACCATTTCATTTTCCAAACCAAAACAAATCAAACCAAAACATTTTTTGCAGTTTGATTTAGTTTCAAACCACGGTTTTAGCAACTTAAAAAACATCTTTCGAACAAGTGAAAAAATAAATACTTTAGTTTGAAATTTCACAATAATATTTAGATTGAAACCTTCTAATATAAAATTTACAATACTATTCCCCCGGAGCATAACCCAATGATGCAATGGACATGAGTGAGATAGTATCAGCCTTGCTGGTGTGAGGATTCGATTCCTGAAATATGGAATTTGACTCTTTGTGAGCATCAGTGTACGGACAAACTCTTGTTCTCTAGTTTGCTGAGGCACATCCTTCGATTTACCACCCTCACGATACTCTAAGAGTGGGACGGTGGGGACCCTCAAAATTGGGTTCAACCTTTTACAATACTACTATATTTGTCTCAATACAAGGTTCAACAACAAAATTTAAGCTTGCAATTTCATTCAAGAAAAATATTATCATAAATAAATTATAATTTTCCTAAAGAGCCACTAAAAGCCAACTATCAAGTAATTTGTTTAAACAGAAATTGATCTAATAAATGATATACCTTGGAGAAAACAAGTAATTTTTCTTTAAAAAATTGGAGAACAATTTGGTTTGGCTACAAGCAGTTTTTAAATATTGAAACATAAACCGAACCATTTCCAAATGATTTGTTTTGGTTTTGAAATGGCCAAAACCTAAACCATGTGAATCCAAACCAACAGTTTCAAAACTGCGATCTAGGTTTGGTTTGAAAGATTGGCAATTATTTTGTTCACCTTTAGATCATCCATGCCCTAAAAAGGTTAAGTTGAACTTAAATTGTGGGAACCAATAATAAACCCAATGCCTATGTACGAAATAAAAGTTTCACTACTCAGTACTTACAATTGCAAAAACAATGACAAACTATAGTGCAGATATCAATTTGAAATAAAAAGCATCAACTGGCCAGAAGGTATACAAGTACACTCTTTCAAACAAATGTTTTCCCACTTGCTCAGACACAGACCAACATATAAGGATTTTGCGAGAACACATACTCATAAAACTTCAAATTCAGTCAAAAATATGACAGGAGAGAAAATTTCTGAAGACACATTTCCGTTTGCTTCTACATCTTTTCCCCAACCTCTTTTGAACTTTCTTCAGCATTGGGAAAATATCTTGAGACAAAGATCATAATTTGGAAATTCCAGTTGAGAATCTTTCCAAATATAAGAGAGGAAGACACGGAAACACAATAAAGGAGAAGCATCAAACACTATATGTAAACCGTGAATACAGGTTAAAAGCTCAATGCCGAGTGAATTAGGCACAATGCGAGATCATAATTTCACTCTTCTTGTTTCCTTTTCGACAAACTAGTACCTTAATGATATCAGATTATTCACCAACTTATGTTCCATAAGCAAGTTACCATTTCACTCTTTAACTGAAAAATAACATTGACATAGAGCACGTTTGGTTATGATTAAAAGAAAACTACGAGTTTGAAATAACATTTTGTTTCCAAAAAATGTTAGGATATATTATTTTTTCTCACTTGTAAGTACAAAATGTAACTCGATGTGAAATTAACTCCTACATGAGAACAACTTATAAGCAAACTTTTTAGCTTAGCCAAAACATGCTTGATAAGTGTAAAATTTACACTTATCTAAGCCACCAAAAGAAATTTTTGTTAGTATTATCGTGGAATCGATACTTAATTATTTGTGTTTTTGGATTATGTTAGGCGAAAACTCGAGATCAGACCAAGAAGGAAGAAATTGAATTAAAAGTTGCAGTTTTAGGATCAAATTCCACACTTTGGGAATTGAAGAAGATATGGGCTGCACAAAGACATGGAATTAAGGACTAACATGTACACGCTGAAATAGTGGTATTCATTGGCACAAATTACAAAATAAATTGGAATGAAATGTAGGACTGAATGCAATTGGAAATCCAGCTGGAAGAAGTATAAATAAATGTCAAATGGGGCTTTAAACGAATTGGACTCCAAAGTGGACATCGAAAGCTGGCGACAGAAAGAAGGAAACTACAAAGCTGAATTAATTAGAGTCATATTTGGAGGAAAAGAGGAAGCTGGCGAAAATCAAGATAAAAAGGGAGCAGATGGCAAGAGAAGAATAATTTTTTCCAGATTTATAGGCGCATAAAATCAAGAATTTGTACAAGAATTTTGGGAATTAATCACATACTGTCATCAAACTACTTTTGCTTTAATTTTTATTAATTAATTCTAGCTTTGATTTAAAATTCTGTTCTTGCTTTTCCTTTTCAGGTTTCCTTGCATGCTAAGTTCAAGAGACAATGATCTCATACCAATTGATCCGCAAATCGAATGCATTTTCAGACAGATAATTAAGCAATAGCAAGAGAACCTCGCGGCATAGCAGAACATAGCATTACAATGGGCACATGTTGAACAGCCAGTTGAAATTGATGAAGATGATTTGCCACTCGGTCAATTCATCACACCAGATGTTGCGCTAAACCAGTCAAGCATTGTTTATCCTTCATTCAAGCAACAAGACTATCAACTGATGACACACATCATTTTATTGTTCCAGAACGGAGTATCTTTTTATGGTAAGTTGATAGGGGTGATTGTGATTGTGCAAAAAAAGAAGGTGATGAACAGAAGTCTTTTGGAATTTTCTCTGATTTATTCAATATGGAAGGTAAACTGGAAACTACAAATGAAACATGATAACCAGCACTTTGAGAAGCTGGGAATTCTCCACTACAGCAATTAGTAAATTCTTGATACCTCTACCCTTCTTTCCCACCCTTACATATAACCCTTCCCGTAACTAATCTAACCAACTCACTAACAAATTCAAAACAACTCATTATAACAGAATAAGCCCAAATGAACTTCTGGAGTATTCTGTGCCTCTGTCATTTTAGGTCACTCCTTGGTGCTATTGTTTATCTCCTTGCGTCTAGTGTAGGTGAATCTAATCAGGGGCTTATCAACTACCCCCCTCCACTAGCATTCCCGAGTCTTCTCCCAGCTGTAGCGGTAATGGTGAGACAATATGTGCATCTCCGACAGCCTTACTCAGTTGAGACACATCGAATACCGGGTGGACGCGCGTGTTTGCTGGTAATGCTAGTCGATATGCTACCTGACCCACCTTTGCCAATACTTCAAAGGGACCAAAGTACCTTGGGGCCAACTTTTCATGGGATCGAGCAACCAGCGACCGGCGTCTATATGGTCTCATTTTCACATACACCCAATCCCCCTTATCAAAGCCCACGGCCTTGCGATGTTTGTCAGCTTATAACTTCATCTGTTATTGAGTTCTATGTAGGTGCACTTTTAATTCCTCCAATACTTGGTCTCGTTCCAACATTTGCTGTTCAAGGGACGAGACGGCTGTGGTTCCCTTATCAAATCGTATCAATGGAGGAGGATCACGCCCATAAAGTATTCGGAATGGGGTGAGTTGCGCCAATACGTGGAAAGAGGTATTATAGGAATATTCAGCCCAATGAAGGAAGCGGTACCATTTGCAAGGCTGAACTGAGGCAAAGCACCTTAGATATGTTTCCACTCCCCTGTTCATGACCTCCGACTGCCCGTCTGTCTGGGGATGATAGGCAGAGCTATACGTTAGTTTAGCCCCCTGCAACTTGAAGAGTTCATTCCAGAATTGACCCACAAATACCTTGTCACGGTCGGAAACAATGGAACGAGGGAACCCATGCAGTCGGGTTACCTCCTTGATAAAAGTGACTGCCACGGTTGGGGCTATGAAGGGGTGTTTCATGCATACTTACTCAAGCGGTCAACCACGACCAAAATGGAATCGAACCCCTCTGATTTTGGCAATCCTTCTGTGAAATCCATTGATATATCTTCCCATACTTTATCAGGCACCGGTAAGGGTTGAAGCAACCCAGCTGGGCCAGGGTGGAATACTTGTGTTGTTGACAGACCGCACAAGCTGCCACATATGCCCTTATGTCCTTCTTCATCCCTTTCTAGTACACACCCTCAGCTATTCGCTTGAATGTTTTTAAAAACCCGCCATGCCTTGCTGTCTTCGTATCATGGCCTTCATGTAAGGCTATCTTAACCAAGGAGGAATCTTTGGGCAATACTAACCTATCATTGTAAAGCAAATTTCCTTGGACCAAGATGTAGCCTGGGGGGCCCGAGTGACCACTACGCAGGGTAGTCACAATTGTCCTTAATTCAGTATCCTCTTCG